GGAAAATTATGGGGTTGGTAAATGAGATTGTTGAGAAGTAGTCTGACATATCCTATCCAGGAATAAGAGCAGAGTTTATTTGATATTTTAAAAAGTATCAATAAAAAGTATTATGAAATGTATGTATATATACATGTATATATGAAATTTAGCTATCTATATATTTATATATGCATAGAAAATAGATAGAATACATAAAGATGGCATTGGTAAGTCACTGTCATGCCTCTAGGACTCAATTTACTCATTTGTAAAATAAGGGGATTGTACTAGGTGGTCTCTAAGGTCCCTTTTGTAGCTCTAAGTCTATGATCTTATATTGCAAGCTATCTAATCCAACCCCATGGAGAGGCCCAAGCCCAGGGGTGTGATGGAGCCAGCTCAAATCATCGAAGGAGAGCCAATTGTTAATTTTTTTACATATGAGAATTTGCATCTCAGAAGTTGGCAAATGCTAAAAATCAGGACTTGGATTTATGGTTTTGTTAATTGTCTGGATTTAAGAAAGTGACAGAGAAAATCTTAATAACATAGAATAAACTTGTTTGTCCTATATACATTTTTCTTCCAGAGAGCTGGTTGTTAAACATCTACCAGAATACCCCTGCCCAAGTCCATCAATGGCAAAGCCAGGAGAGAAAAAAAGAGATTCCCTGACTCAGTCCAATGCCCTTAGAGAAGTACTAATCATATTTGCCAACTTTCCCATTGTTGTCTCAGATGGTTCTCTAAAAATGAATAAATACTGGAGCAGCTAGATGGCACAGTAGATAGAGCACCAGCTCTGGAGTCAGGGGGACCCGAGTTCAAATCCAGCCTCAGACACATAACATTCACTAGCTGGATCACTCTGGGCAAGTCACTTAATCCCAACACCAGAAAAACAACAAAATCATCTAGTTTCCACCCCTCCCACTTCATTTTATAAATGATAAAACTGCGGCCTGGAGAGATTAAATAACAAGCCCAGAGTCACATACATAGTAAGTGGTAAAGCTGGGGTGTGAACCAAGGCCTTCTGTCTCCAAGTCCCTCATTCTTTCCAGTGCTCCATATTTCCTCCCTTGTAGGTTAACTCCTCTAGCTGCATCATAGTTCCCCAACAAGACTGGTATCTTCTCTCTTAAAACATCCCCAATCTGAATTTAGGATTTGTCCACAATTGAATGATAGATTGGGCTTGCTAGATTATCCTATAATCCCAATTTCATTCTCAGTCACTCAAGAAGCTTTCTGGCTTAATGATGGGCTTTTGGTAGTTCTACTCACATTCCTGTTTTTGTCACTGAGCTCACTAATGTCCATTTAATGGACCAAGGGGAAAATACAAAAATACAACTAAGGAAATATAAAATGGCTGCAGCATCCCCACTACCTCAGAGATCAAAACATCCAACTCGATACACAGGTCACCTCACAAATTTGAAGGACAATCTCTTTCTTAACAGGGTTACCTATGGGGAATAGTTTAACTCTGCCTGCCCTCTCCCTACCCACCACCTCTACACATCTCTGAGCTGCTTGCTGTCCCTCACCACTGCCCAGAGTTCTTTTAGTGTTGGCCCCTGAAAAGCATGATTAAGAAAGAAAATCTGTTGTGGGATGGGATAAGGAAAAAATAGAAAACCAAACCATGTATAATAATTTATTTATATTTTTGCTTAGTCTCCATTCTGGAGGGTTTTTTTTTTTGTGCTCCCCTCCATTAGTGCAAATAATTAAAATCCAGCTATATGAGCACAAATCCTGAGGGGACTCTGGATGCTGAGTGATACATCTAGAAAAATAACCTTTAGGTTAGGACTATAAAGCACCCAAATCTCTGTTTATTCAAGTGAAAATGTTGGTCAAATCTGTTAGTTCCATGCCCAGCATTTTCCAAACCTTATATCTTATATCCTCTCCCCCTAGAGGAAAGCATATGGGAAATAAGGGGAGTGAGGGGAATAATGTTATTAGGAGCATAATTGGCTGTGGGACATTGGGGCATTTTTAAATGGCTGGTGAGAATCGCCAAGGGGTATTGCCAGCTTATTTAATAGCGCTTTCCTGCTCCATAGCTCATCTAAGCCAACCAACCCTGCTTCATTCCTGCCAGTTTTCTGTCCCTAAAGGTGGCCTTGGGAGGCAGATACACAACGCTAGCAAGAATGATATCCACTTTTTCCATCAATGGGGAATATGTCCATGGATTAAGGAATGGATGAACAAATTGTGGTATACAAATGTAGTGGAGTGTTATTGCACCATAAGAAACAATATGAAGAATGCAAAAAAAACAATAGGAAGATTTGAATGAACCAATGAAGAGTGAAGTAATGATAATAATATTGATAACAGCTAGCATTTATAAAGCACTTTATGGTATACAAGATGCTCTAAAAATCTTACCTCATTTTATCCTCACAACAAACCTAGAAAATAGGCACTATTATTATCCCTATTTTACAAATTAGGAAGTTGAAAGAAAGGTTAAGTGAATTGCACAAGGTCTTATAGCTAGTAAGCATCTAAGGCTGGACTTGAAATCAGGTCTTCCTGACTCCAGCGCTGTATTCATTGTGCCACGGAGCTGCCTCTAGAGAATAAGAGACACAATGATGATAATGATGTTGCTGTATAATTACAACCAATCTCGACCTTGGATCAGGGATGAGGAAATACACCTCCCTCTTTTTGTTGCAGAGATGTGGGACTGTGAGTACGGAAATGTTGCATATGTTGTGTCCAACTTGTCAGTTGGTTTTACTTTTTTTTTTTGTTTCTTTGTTATAAGAGCAGGCTGCTGAGGGTGAAAAGAGGTGTATTCAGAAATGACTACAATAAAGAAACCAAAGACATTAAGAAAACTTTTAAAAGAATGGCACCTAACTGATAGTAATTGATCATAACACCCCCTCCACTTAAGTCTTCCTCTGATGGCACAATGGAGATGACCTTGGATTCTCAAAGCATATGTTCCAAGAGAACACAAGCTTTGCCGGGTTTTATCAAGTGAGAAAGGCTTCCAAGACTTGCCTGATTATGAGTTGTCTGACTTGTCTGAGAACCTAACAAACTAATTTCAGAGAGGTTCATTATCACAAGACTGGCCACCAGGGGATTAATTATCGTGATTACTGCTGCTGCTTCTTATTGTTGGTATTGTGGAGACGTCTAGTAAAACATGGAGAAGGCTTATGAGATTTGTCAGCTGGACAGAACACTCACCAGTGAAATAAATGATGAATGGTCCACATATTGAAGTAAAATCATGCTCTAACAAGAACACTCATTAGTGTACGGAACTCTCAAGAGTGATGGAAAGAGTCTCTAATGACCCTGAGTAAAGGGGAGATTTAGGGCTTATCTACTTTATTATATCACTGTGGACTATAACAATGGATTTCCATCATTCAGGGCAATAAAAAAAATTGCATTATATTTTGATTGATGTAAAATGGTTGTGTATACAGAATTATCACATATAGAATGGATCTAATCAAATGGATGAGAATCAACCTTCACCAAGCCATTGGGTGATGATTATTTGGGACAATTTCTGGCACATTGAAAGTGTATCACCTGTGCATAATTATGAAAGCAGGAATCAGACCCCTAGTAAAATTTATTGGTGTTATGTATTCTCAGTTACTTAAGAATAATCCTTGAGGAAAGGAGCCATGCTTGAAACACACCTTCTCCAGGGAGCCTTCCATGATTAAACCTTACCAACACTGATAATTGCTCTACATTGAGGTAGTTAGATGGCACAGTAGATAGAGCACTGGACCTGGAGTCAGGAAGACCTGAGTTAAATCTGACTCTAGATACTGACTAATAGTTGTATGAGTTGGCAAGCCACTTAACTTTTTCTGCCTCAGGTTTCCTCATCTATATAGTGGGGATAATAATAGCACCTACTTCTTGGGGTTGTTGCGAAGATCTAATGAGATCATATTTGCAAAGTGCTTGTCACATAGTAGATAGTTAATAAAGGCTTCTTTCCTTCCTTCCACCCCACCAAATTACATAGTTTATACTACCTATATCAGTAAAAGGCTTTCTGTTCATCTAATAACATTGTCAATTCCAGAGCTGGAAGGGACCTCAGAAACCATCTAATCCAACCCCTACTTTTTGGAAAGGAGGAGACTGAGATCCACAGAGGTTAAGTGATTTGAACAAGGTCACACAGGGAGTAAATGAGAGGAAGGATTTGAATCCAAGCCCTCTGGCTTCAGAACCAACATTCTCCCCACTGTACCACTATGCCTTCTTGTTTTTAAAGGACAAATAACTTTGCTTCCAGGAATTGTAAAATGACACCTCTGATTCAAGGTCCTCATTTCATCCTAAAGCAAGGAAATAATAGGGCATTTAGAGGAAAGTAAATAGGACCACAAAGGCTGTGTGAGGTGGTCATCCTTTCACCTTTGGTGCCTCAGTGGTACTTTGGCTTCCATTTACAAAGAGTAAAGTACGCACTGTGATCCCAGTGAACCTGCTGTAACCTGACAACATCAAGAAGCACTAGATGGCTGTGGAACTGTCACTTCACAATAGTGACTTTGAAAAGAAAGGCATTTTTGTACAGGAACACTGTCTCTTATATGCCTTCTTGTGCCTTGACCAGAGTGAGTTCTCCTAACACCTGCTCACATTTACAGCAGATGCTGCTTGAAGGTTTACCAAATGTTTTCCCTCGTAATACCCATGTGAAGTAGGCCAATGCTTACTTATCCACATTTTATAGATGAGGAAATTGAGACTTGGAAGAATCACCCAGGCAGAGTTTGGACTCAAATCCAGGCCTTCTGATTCTAAGATCAATATTTTCTCTACTGCACCAAGCAATGGAATTACCTCCCACAGAAAACACAAATCATTTTCCTTTTGCAAAGCTTGAAAAAGAATGCAGAGAACTGCCAAGTCTGGGACGTTCCCTGGTCAAGGACTCCTGTGGAGATAAGCTTTCATGTGTCCAGTTGGGCTTATTGGAACTGGAGATTTCTAGAAGAGCGAGGTATGCTTTCTGCAGAAATGAGAATGCCAGTGCTGAGCAGGATTTAAACAGATCCTGTCAGTGGGAATGTAATTTGGGTCAATGAATCATAAATCCTATTTTGGTAATTTGCTGAAGACAACAGCATTGGGAGCCTAATGGAGACAGCTTGAAAGAGATGCTGATAGGTAAGCAGCACAAGGAGGTAGGGGAGTGATTGAAGGGGTAAGAAATTCTACACAGCAGATTGCAAATTTACCTTTACTAATATAAAGTCTATTGTTCATGGAGCCTTTCTTCCCCCAGCCCCTGAGGAGGGACCCAGTAGCATCACAAATGGAATGGACCACACCACTCACAACCCACTGGGAACCTGACACTCAAGGTGAGTCTCCCGACGCTCAGGTGACTGATTCTGCCCAGTTTATCAGCCCAGAGACCGAACCTTGAAACAGACCTAACGAAAATAAATGGTTACTTTTGTGCCACTTACAATGTCCTGGTTTCCTGAGCAGGGAAAAAAAAAAAGACTAATCTGGCTTGTTAGTTGGCCTCATCTCTTCAGGCTTAAAGAATTGAGGTCCAGTAAGAAGCTTTCATAAGAGAAAAGACTTTACATGCAAACAGTGCATTAGATTTCTAACCACAGAACAACGGATTGAGATTTTCTGTCCCCCTTTTGTAAATGAAGAGACTGATGACCTGAAAAAGCAAAACCCAGGCTTAGAATCCATGGCCTTTGACTGCAACAGCCCACTGCTTTGCTCCTCAGTCCCTGAGGAGAGAAAAATCATTTTAACTGAAGACTCTATCTAAAATCAGGGCTGTAGTCATCCTCTTCTTCCGGTCTTCATTCAGTACTCAAGGACCACATCCATCCATGGTGGTGAGCACCTATGCTTTGTGTCTGCTTTGTGTAGACATTTGAAACTGAAGTCAAATAGCAGTAGGAGGGATTTAAATCAGACATAAGGAAGAGCTTTTGGGGAGTATACATGTTGAAATAGGGGAAGGTACCAAGAAGGGAGATTGTGGAATTTCCTTTCCTTTTGATTTTTAAGACCCTGCTACCCTAGAGGGTGTGGAGTTAGGAGGCTGGGCCTTGAGCTTTAAACCATGAGACCAGCTTCCTAACCACCTGAGAATTAAAATTCTCAAAATATTGTGAAATGACTTCTTAAGAAACTTCCTTCTGGGGTGTTTTTAGTTAATGTCTGCCCAGGGCAGATATCCCCAACCTATTGATTGAGTCATAGATCGATCACCAAACCTTACAGTGTAGATTTCCAAACATTTTGAAATAGTAGAACTTTTTTTTAAGCTGTCATAATCTGTAGAGTTTAATATGATGGAAGTTAGGCAGTAGAGAGGAGTGAAAAGCACAAATCGGGTCTCCTCATTGCTGGTAAGGGGGGGAGGAACAAAGGTCAATGGCATTTTTTAGGACATCAAAGAGGTGCATCCTCCTCAGCATGGCTAGAGAGAGAGGGATGCTATTTGTTCCTGTGGGGTCTTGTCATCTGGAAGTTGGGGGAGAACCACCCTGGTCATTGCTGTATATCACCACCTGTGTCTGGGCAAAGAACTGTTTCATTGTTCACAGGAGTGCCCTCTCATTGACTGGGGAGAGAAGAGAGAGGAAAATCATTCTCTCCCTCCTCTATTTTCTCTTTCCTTTCTTCCTATGCCTCGCTCTTTTCCTCCCATTCTTCCTTTCTTTTCTCCTGTTCCTTTCCCTTCTCCTTTCTCCTTCCACTTCTGGGTAAGAGAACATCCCCGCATAGTCTGGGAGAGTCAGTGAACCATAAACTGACTTGTGGAGAGGTAGGCAAGGGAGAGAAGTGGACCACCACCTTCTTCCTGCTCCTCCTTGTCTATGCTGGCAGATGGTAAGACTTTGGTCAATCTGACCACAGCTCCCTATCAGAAAAAGGTTGGAGGCTTCTGGACTAAGGTGTGATTTCTTGGTGTTGAAATCTTGTCTGGTTGAGTGCTTGTCACTGCTTCTGGTACCTAACAAAAACTATTGATTTTCCTCTCTTCTTTGAATAAATTAACACATAATGTAGGTTTTGTGCTATGTCCCTTATCTGGACAAGGTTTGATGTACACAGTCAAATATTAGTAATGTAGTTAGGAAGTACTTGGTAAATTTTCTGGTTTGTACACTGTACCACTGGTGAATTGATATGAGAAATTTTCTAATTTCTCCAAGCCATGAAGTTTCACACCCTCATTTACTAATGTCCCAAGATATAACATTTTCCCTTTTTTGACCTTGAGTAAATATTGATCCCTAAAGGGAGAATGAGTTCTGTGACTTCTAGGAAATTTGCTGTCAATCTTTCAAACAGTTAATATACAGTTATCCCTTCCATGTCACGGGGGCAAGGGGTATGGTACCCCCCCACCCTCACCCTGCAATCTGGAAAATCTGCTTAAAATATTTTGGCCCTCCCTTAGCACCACAGAAGGAGTCTGAATTATTATGGTGTTAAAAGATAAAATATGTTGATATTACACAATACAATACTATGTTTTATGCATTTCTGAGTCTCTAAGCCTTTTCTGTGTCATTTGCTAGCTTTTGCATGTCATCTGTGGCTTCCACAAAACCCCCCCAAATTTCCCATTTAATTTCTTATGCCAACCTGTGATATATTGCCGTGGGGAAAGTCACGACGTGTCAGGTTGATAGAAGTCACGATGATGGAAGAAGAGTCCATTTAACAACCTAGCCTTTCATATGGCAAGACCAACCCTGTGTAGGTAAAGGAAGGAGCCACCCATGTGAATGTAAAACATGTAACATGATTTAAGAGAACTAATAAGAGCCCTTTTTCCCCCATCACCAAAGCATCTCCCTCTCCTGCCTGAAGTGTTTTACTTCTTTTGGTCCCACAGCCTGAAATCTCACAAATTAGAAGATTTATTTGGGTCGATGGGTCTCTTCTTTTAAAATGCAAATTTCCCAAGGAGAGAATTCTCCCCAGCCATTCCTTCATTCCATTAAAAAAATTATTAAGGCTTCCTGTGTACCAAATGTTGTGCTAAGAGTTAAGGATATAAAGACCCCAAAACTAAACAGTCTCCGACTTCAAAGATTATGCATTCTACTGTGAGGGAATTACTTGTACAACCAAAAAAGTAAATTAAAAATATGCAAAGGAAGTACACAGTAATTTTGAGGTGGGTGTAGGGAATACAGTAGTCTCCCCTACCCACTTAACAAAGAAGCCTGGGGAACCCAAAACACCCATGAGGGTAAGACCAATAGAAGTGGTCCAAAGGGCAGCTAGGTGGCGCCAGAGTGCACAGAGTCTGAGGTCGAGCCTGGAGTCAGGAAGACTTATCTTCTTGAGTTTAAATCTGACCTTAGCCACTTACTAGCTGTGTGACCCTGGGCAAATCACTTAACCCTGTTTGCCTCTGTTTCTTTATCTGTAAAATAAGATGGAGAAGGACATGGCAAACCACTCCAGTATCTTTGCCATGAAAACCCCAAATGAGACCACAAAGAGTTGGATAAGACTGAAATGACTCCACAACAATGGTCCAAAACTCCTTTCCTACAGGGAAAGGAGTTGGATTATCAACTACTCTTCAGTTCCCAAGGAATGTTTTCTCCCCCAACTAGCATGAATCAGCGGCAGTATTCAGGCTTCTCATGCCTTTCTCCCAATGCCTCATTCTGCTAGGCCAGTTAAGAACCCTATAAAAACCCTGAAGATTGTACTAATTGGAGAGAGGCTACCCCATTCCCTCTCCAACCCTATTCCATCATTCTCTCCAACTGCTTCATTTTGTATCTCCCCTCAAAAGAGTTGGCTTTCTTGGCTCTCTTGGTGCAAGCTCCATGTTTCCTTTCGGTATTCTCAAACCTTCCTAATAACCTATCAGGACAGTTGACCCTGCCAGAGCTCATTTGCTCCTAGCATACCTTTCCAGAACCCAACGTCCACTCCATCCCTCAATTTGGGATAAGACTGTTGAGAAGGAGGAGACTTGGATACGGTGTGGTCTCTAATTGTTTCATTGTCTATCATCTTGCTTCCACATCTAGCATGTCCATTTTTAGAGGTCAGGATCCCATGGTCTCTTTTGCTCTCCCACAGTGGCTAGCCAAGTGTAAGCCACACAGGGCAGGGACTGCACCTAGGATTTCACTAGTGTGGAAAATCCCCAGAAGAGGGCATCCTACCAAGGGAGATTAGCACTTTCTCTGCAATTTATCATCTTAGAGTCTTCCCTAGAGCATCAAGACGAAAAATGACTTGCTCACAATTGCACAGCCAATATGTGTTGGAGATAGGACATGAATCCTGGTCTTCCTGGCTAGTTTTCTATACCAAAGTGATTCTTTCTGGTCACATGGTAGTAAGAATAATAGCTGACTTTTAGCTAAAATTTGATGTTTAGTTAAAATTTGCAAAATGCATTCTCTCTTTTGAGCCTCAAAACAATTCTGTGAGTTGAGCACAATAGGTATCATTAATCCCCATTTTACAGATGAGGAAACTGAGGCTGAGAGGGGTTAAGCGACCTGCCCATGATCACATACCTCCATTGTGTCAGAGGTCTCTTTTGAACTCTGGTCTTTCTACTGCACTATAGTATTCTGATGTATGGGGAAAAGCATTAAATTTGGAGTCAGAAGAAAAAGGTTTGAATCCTGGCTCTGCTGTTTATCCCCTGCATGAACTCAGGCAAAGCTCTTTTTCTCTGGGTCTCATTTTCTTCATCGGTAGCATGGTGGAGTTGAAGGAGATGCATTATGGTTTTTTGTTTTGTTTTGTTTTAGCTCTTAATTATATGACTAGGTGCTTAACAAATTATTTAATTGAAGCTCAGTTATTTGATTGTGATATAAGTATTTTGGATTATAAAAGTTGTTAGGGGCCCTCTTCCACCTTGTATAATTACAATATATGCAGATATACAGATAGATAGATTGAATATTTACTTTTCTGGTGACCATGTTGTATCTCCCAGTACAAATTTTTGTCTTTGTATACTCAGCACCCAGCATGTTACAGTAGTTAGCATATTGTTGTTGTTTGTCCTTCATTCTTGAAGAGGACCATGACATCATGGAGATGATGCCATAATAGCCAAGTGAATTGGATTTAAGGGAGGGAGGGCTGTGCAAAGTCACCAGCCCCACTTTCTCCTCCAGAGTAGTTGATGAATAAATCATTCTTGATTGAATGTAAGCTTCTTGAGAGCGTGCACGGTGTCATTTTTGTATTTGAAGCTTCAGTACCTGGCAAATAGTAAGTGCTTAATAAATGCTTGTGGATTTATTAGTGCTAGTTATAGCTCTTTGTGTAAATAAGGATATAAAAATTTTTCAAGCCTATTATAGATTAATCAGCGCAATGACCA